AGAGCTACTCTGGGTGTGCTTGCCTCGTTTCAACCTACTTACTTCTTACTACGTTATAATTAAGATGCTCCATTCCAACAAGTGATAGTCTTGATCGTTTAAATGCGTCTTGTATTTTAAAGATACCTTCGATATGTATCTCCGTAATTAAGCTCACCGCAAGAGACATGACAAAGTTTAAAATTATTTAAACCCTTAGAATTTATGTTTTGCTGGAAGATAAGACCCGGGTGTTGTCGACAGTCCCTTGTTCATTAAACTCAAAATCTGCACAATAGTGGAGTCTTATTTTATCGTGGCATTTACAGCGGCGGGAGCATGAAGTTCAAGTTGTAACTCATTTTGGATCCAATATTCATTATTCAAGTTTTAGATGAATAATTATTTGCTCTCTCCAGGACCTGTGGTCAAGGATTGTAATTCAGGAGGTATGTTCTCCACATTCACATCCTGAAGCTCACGCACCATACAGTATCCAATCACAGGCCCGTATTCGCGTAACCAGCCAATGGATGAGCATGTGGTCGCTAGGTCGAGCATGTTTTACTTGAAGTACCTTACCCGGTACCATGTAAACTGCTTGTCAGTGAGCCGTGTCTTTGTTTAGGCTGGTAATACGGGTCGTCACCCGACATGTTGCACAGATATGTTGGACAGCCTTTTCCGCAGAAAGTATTTGAACGCCATGATCTCTGTGAATCTCACTCTTTTTTGTTGTTGACTCGGACTGGTTACAGTTAACTCGTCACTGTTCAGTATTTATTGTGAACTGATACTGCGGCCACCAACTCGAGTGTTTATTACAGTTTACACGGTGTGAGTGTGAGGTCAGAACTTGTATCGGTTGCAGAAACTTGGCAGCGGATTGGAGGGCGGATTGCCAGACAATTTACTTGTTTCTTTGTTTATAGAACCCGTCCCCAATCTCGTATCGGAAATAAATCCATCTCAATTACGGGTGATACCTATATTACCTGCGAGGGTATTTATTAAACAACTAGAGTTCTGTTTTGCCATTTACTTAATAGGTTCTCTCAATCCACTTGTTGGAACACCCTTTTCTGTAGAACTAGAAGCGCTTTGGTACTTTCCGCCTGGGCCGTGATTAACGTCGACTGTAACTCCATCGATTATTCTCAACTTCTCAAATTCTGTCGGACAATGTTTTCACCATCAATATGATTATAACCCTTACGTGTTCCACTGAGTACTGATTTGTTCCAGTTACTACTGTGAGCATGGGTAACAATATTTAAAAAAATCAAAGTTAATTCATCATATTTATCCTATCTTAATCGGATCAGGGTTGGTGAAATGTTACACAGGGCAGTAAATCGTAGAGTCCTGTTGCTAGTTGGATTTTAGGATAGTAGGGCTCATCCAGACAGCATGTCACCGGGCTCCAATCTAAAAATAAAGCAAAATCAGGATTACACCCAGTAGGATTAACACGATCAACTGAGGTTTTTTATTTAGTAGGTCTACAAATCTCGTAATTAGAGAAGCTTCGAGTCATCCTTATCTTGGACGTATAAAATATTGACGGCGAAGTAATTAAGATAATACCCTTTACAAACCCTTCCCGTGAATTGACATTATTCTGCTCCCGAGCCTAACTTTAAGTGATTTGTTGTATACTGTCTTACCCTGTTTTACCGCGTATATTCGGGGTCTTCATTTTTACCCGATATTAATATTGATATTATTTACATTGTTTCTAATGTCAATGATACTTTGACCTTTGGTATCCCAAGGGGATCGCGCGCTTAGTACTGGACGTGACGTTGGGGTGGTGGATCATATTTTCTTCCAAAACACAGTTAATACTTTTGTACTAAGTGGTGGATCTGCTGCTCATTTCCCAGAAAAACAGTTAGTACATGGTACTAAGGGGGGTGTCCAACCCCAAAAAACCCATTTTACCTCAAATTTTTATTTTGGAAATGGTTTTTTTTGGGTTTTTAAAATTTGTTTTTCCTTTTTTTGTAAATTTGTATCTAATTCCACTACATTGAAAACAAAATCCCCACTAATTACTTAATATTGGGTAATTTGCCCATTTCCCAAAAACAGTTAGTAAATGGTACTAAATAGTGGGTCTTAGGTCTCATTTGCCCAAAAACAGTTATCAAATAAGGGTATTATTTATTAAACAGAATGTGATTGATCTTTTGTATAATTTTAAAAAGTCGCCTTTGTTGACTTTTCCACTTGAGAAGGTGCAGTGTTTAATTTATTTTAAAATTTATTTCAACTACTGGTTCTTGAATGATGTGTCATGTAGTAAAACACGCTTCAGTACAGAGGTACAGGTTGTGTCCATGACCATACGAGTCGTATACGTTACACTGAAACAGCTTTATATTCACCAGCAAGCTTTTTTATTACAGCGGGCATGCGCAGCCTGCTACTAAAAAGGCCCAGCATTTTTCAGCCCGCTAACGTGTTATAATCTGTATTTATTTAAGCATAGATATCTCAACTGTTAGTTTTATTGTTTACATTCAATACCGGATCCTTTTAAAACTAAAAAGTCATGTTTAATGAGCTGTTTAAAGCAATTTTTGGGTGGGTATCTTATTTTATATACCAATACACAGTTAGTACCGTGATTTCTCAACAGTTAGTACCGCAAAAGCCGCAAAAGGGGTGGGTGTCTTAATTATTATCCGAAAAAAACAGTTATTACCGCGAAGGGGGTGGGTGAGTCTTTTTGAAAAATTCCAAAATTCCACTTAGTCGACATCACGTACAGAACTTAGTACGTGATCCAGCTCCCCGGGTATCCTTGTCTTCTCGAGAATCGAGAACTCTAAATCAATGATTGGATTTACTTATGATATTTTGCTTCCAAGCAATGTCTCCGGTAGCTTTGAGTCTATAGCCTGGGGTTTAATGTTGGGAGACAATAGACATGTTAGCAGAACAATCTAGGACACTAGTTTTTGCAGCTAAACTACAGTAAAATTGATTAAGATGCTCGGTGAAGCGGATAGATATAAAGCATTTCGTTTATAATTTGATTGACGGTGACCCAGTCCCCAAATATATTCTTGGAAACTTGGTTCTCGGAAACGTGGTCTCCGTTAGGAACAGGAGTCGGGACTGTTCTATTTTTACTTCAAGCTTTGTAAATCGCACTTTGAAGTTTAGTTCACCGTTTATTGCTCTTATAAATTTTCATGTTATTTTTGGACGTCACTGATTAGTGAATATTTATCCAAACTTTGTTATTTTTTCCCAACCCGCCAAAATTAAATGACGCCAGATAGCTGTATATATATAGATACCTACTACCTAGTATTATTACACCCACAACCCACAAAGAGCGATCATCGTATCAAAGAATGATATCGTTTCTGAAGAATTAAGAAAGTGAATTAATCCTTGAAATAAGTATTTCATATTAAATGAATAAAAATAATGCGAAATAATTTGCCGGAAAAATAATGCGAATCGTAGGATAAAAGTGTGATTTACCTGGTAATTTAATATTAGTATCAATGAATTGGTATTTTAGTATTGTTTTATGGGCTTTATTCTATCTTGCCGGGTGATACGTCTATTGAAATGGCGTACCTTGTAGATCTCGTTGTTCTTTCCTTGCTCTCGCGCTCCCTTTATAACGTCATTGTGAACAGTTTTGGTTTTATGACAAATTTATATCTTGAAATAAGTATTTTGTAATTCGCTTTAACCTTATGAACCGTATTTTACTTTAGAGTTTTGAAGCTTGTTATTCTAAATAGGATTGTTCTCATGTTATTTTGCAGCCGGAAAGTAAATCTTTGGGAAACGTTTGATGATTGATCCATAACTTGGGTGACTATCACCTGATTTGATCTCTGAAATTTGCACTGTCAACTTCAAGTCTTGTTTATGTTCGTGATATTTTATTGCATTCTTCGAATTTTTGTAATTACAAGGTTGCTATTTTTTTTCTGGTACAAGGTCTGAGCAGGCCCAAAATATCTAATTTTTCAATTACTAAAACTGACAAACTCACAAAACGCACTTTTCCTGGAAAAGTAACGCACGAACCAACTATGCTGTAAATCCAGTTGACTGCATTCTAGTTGACTGTACTCTATAAAGATATTGCTATATCTCGTACGTATATCTTGTGGTATTTGATCTTATTTCTAAGTTTACCCATTAATGAATTATTCAATATTCCAACCGCTGTTATAGTAGTGGCTGTTATAGTAGGGGCTGTTCATTGCTCAGATCAGCTGTCACACCCCAATCACTAATGAGTCTACTCAATAATTACCATTGCTACTGTCTCTAGTATAGTAACTGACAAGCTCCGTATTCACATAATCTCCATCCTCTAATGAGGCGGGTAATTGGTTGCAATTGTTACTAATACCAAGTCAAATTGACAGACCTGGGAAAATTAAGACAACGCCTCTTCTAATCCAACTGATTCACATGGACAGTACTGCGATACAATATTACAATATTATCCCACCCTGTTGCCTACTTCCTTGTCGCATTGGTGAGCGGTTTTATGACGTATTGAAATCGTGACCTCGATTATTATAATTTCCCTCAGATATTCAGTTTAAATTCCGCCCGTATCAGTAATTCTAAATTAGATAGAATGCTCAAATATTTGAATATTTGACCATCCCTTTTAATTTCCATTCATTTTTTCATTCATGCCTTTGTTCCTTATCTCTGTTCGTTTAATCTAGACGCACTTCTGCAGGAGGAAGACCTAAAGCAATTGTTACTACTTACTTAAGGCTTTGTCCTGCAGTGTTATCAGCAAACATACAATACCTAACGTATTAGGATATCCCTAAAAATAAGCCCAGACGTTGGTACTTGGTTGATAATCGGGCGGGCCGTATCGGTCAGAACATTACCTGATCTCGGGCTTTGTGTGATCCAATTTCAGGTCTTTTTCCTCGGGAAATCTAATCGAGCTCATTAGTATTGCTCGATAGAAAGTAGATTGTCCGATTAGATTGGACGTGACCGTTTTCTTGCGTATGACCTGCAGGTGAGGTATCCGGCTTGTTATAGTTTAGTGATCATGGATTTGGAACAAATATTTCAATCGTTTTACTCAGTTTGTAAACATTTTGTTAACCTTGACAAATTATCTATGTCAACAACATTTTTACAACATTTTTACTAACTGAGTAAAGCAATTAAAATATTTGTCTGACAATGGTATATTTAACAATAATTGCAACACTGTAAATCTATTACATTTATTGAGGACGTTACAAAAGGAATTAATTTAATGTAGTGATGATTTTTTCAGAAATCGACCAATATTTGTTTACAAAATGAACTCTTATCTATTGACTTATATCTGACTAACCATTTTCCCTTCAGTATGACACAATACCCTCTAATATGCTTGATACTTTACCTTCTATCCCACTACGTCGTCCTTTCTTCTACTATCGACTGTAATTTCACCCCAAAAGACCACAATCATCGATTACAGTCCTCTATTACGTAAGTGTTTTTATCTAGACTGCTTTTGCGAAGCACGTTGTATGTACTTTATGTTGTGCGCGGTGCATTTCACGTATGGAACCACACCATTTTCCGCGCGCTTTGTTGTCAATTAATTTAATTATTATTACCAATTACCAATTATGTCGGTTCAACAGTTTAGCGTGTGAAATGTTATACGTCTTGTTAAACCATTCTACTGGAAGTCACCTTAATTACTTCTCTTTTTCAGTTATAAGTGTCCAACACGATGTAAAAACTTAAGGACCAACCCTCCAGATCTCAGAAAAGTAGAGCTCAACTACAGAATATGTTCTCATCCCGACTTAATAGATGCAGATTTTAAAATAGAACCTAATGATGTTAGTCACGTCAGTATTCGAAAGATACAAAGTTTAAATAATCACCACAATCATCGGAGGAAAAGATCACGTAAGTAGAAACCATGACAGTCATTATTTTACATTCCTTCTCCAATTCGACTAATTTTTGTGATATGTTTTATGTTTTGCATTTTTACAGCCCAATCATTGTCAAACAATCAATTGCTCCTAAATCTTAATTGAAAAACGTCCAGCTCTAGAAAATAAACATATTTTGAGAAATTCCAAAGCCTGAATGTACCCCAAATCTCAATTCAGCGTTGGATAAGATACCATTGCAATTACCATTGCAAAATGAGACTCTACCAAATATTACCAACCCGGGTGAATTTACCGAATATAGGAAAGAATTTTTTCGTAAGTTTGTGTCAAAATGTTACGCTAGTGTGGTAACATGGACACTGCACTTAATGTTCTGTAATGTACAATTATTCAACAATTTCGGGGAGTGACCGTCAATTTATTGTTTAAGCTGTTACATATAGCCCTGAAAAGGTAACGTGTCAAATTAGAAAATGTAAAACCTAACATGTGAGTGTTACTTTGACTAAAAAGTGTATGTATAGCTGTTGAATGTTTCGCTGAACTTGGTTACGCACCCGTAACTTTACAGGGATCATTTGATTAGGGCTCGGAATCTTCTGCTACAAATATTAGGCCGTAAATATTAAATATGAGAAATATTGCCGTAGATTGTATTAAAGTGTCTGAGTGTCAATGAAATATTGGTGCGGAGAATTTTTACAATAGTTAATATGACAATATTGTCTCATTCAAACTTTCAAATATGCCACCATTGACCATATATTTTCGGAAAAAATGCTATTGAATTTAATTTATAACTTCATTTCAGTCACTATTTTTAACATTTCAATAAACTTATTAGTGATCTTTAAGTTAATATTTCGCAAGTTGATTTTATAGAACTGTCACTATGCAGACTCAGTAATGGCGTAAATCTAAAAATAAGGGATCACCCTCACCTTTGAGGTTAATAATTTTTAATTCTAACCTTATTAAGGAATAACAAATTTGTCTTAAATCAATCCATAATAACATTTACCATAAACTAACCCTGCGAATCGTTTCAGTTACGTTAACGCCACAGTGGCAAAGTGAGCCTCAAAGTATGAGCGTAAACCAGGGAAATAAAATAAGCCTGGTTTGTTCGATCACCGCTGTGGGCGACTCAGCGAATTACCAGTGGTTTTATAGCGATACTTTCCCTACTAGTAAGTTGGTGTGGAGTATTGGCCGATACATCCAGTTACATTATTGATGAGTTGTCATAGAATTAATTCCATTGCCTCACCAGTGATCTTTTATAATGTCATCAGTGTACATTTTTTTTCTTGAATTTTTCAAGAAAGGACGTCATTTTTCAATGAAATATTTGGGTTGAGGTGGTATCTAGTCAGATCAGTGTAAATGTTTTGACCACAAAGCATTTACAATCGCCGTTGAATATTAAAATCGAATGATTGATTTATCCTAAGATAATCTAAAATTACCTTAGCGTCAAATTTAGTCTATATCTGTATTCCTGTACGTGTTATATTTCCCGATATAATCAGATGTACAGATTTAAGTTATTTATCATTTGTCTTACAGTTATCTTATGTTATCTTATCTTATCTTATGTTATCTTATTTTATCTTATCTTATCTTATGTTATCTTATCTTATCTTATCTTATCTTATCTTATCTTATCTTATCTTATCTTATCTTATCTTATCTTATCTTATCTTATCTTATCTTATCTTATCTTATCTTATCTTATCTTATCTACCATTTCAGATATCGGGAACACGCTGTCTGAGTTATTTAACGGTGTTACTGACGACACAGGGACCCTTACCGTCTCCTCGGCTAGTGGTAACGATGCTGGCTACTATCAGTGCAAGGTTAGTTCATAGAGTGGAACTGGGACGGATCCATTATTGCCCATCTTTTTCTTAAAATGTCTGTCTCAATTTAAATTACATTGGGATCGCTCAGTTGAGATTTTATGACGTAAAGATTAAAAGATTAGTAACTCATGAATTTTCGAATAATATTAAACTAATCAGTTTCATTATTGTATGAGTACGAAACTTACGTAATCGAAATTTCAATCGACTTTCGCAATAGATATTTTCTTTTATATTATTATCATAAATATTATCTTCAGGTTACAGATGTGACAAAAGATGGAACACACATCATTTTCAGTAATATTGTGGAAGTTGAGATCGAAAGCTATTGTAAGTATAACCAGCCCTTTTACAGCACTTTATTATTGGGGGATCATTGCAATTTTCGCCATAAACATCTCGACCGAGAAATCCCCGAAAGTGGATGGCGGAAATTACGAAGATCCTCTACTCTTATATCTATGCTTGATACTTGAAACTGATCGTTTGTTGAACGAAACAGAATGGTGTTATTCTAGCACATTAACTATTGACTTAAATAGTGAATGGTTATGGTTATGGTTATCAAATTACATTATGATGTATGTGCCTGAAAGTAGTTAGAATAATTAAGATTTGCCTGATACTGAATGCATCGAATCGAACAAACGTGATTATGATATCATTGAACTAAGTGAAAACATTTTTAGTGGTTCATTACATTGCACCTCCCCTGGAAGGTATATACGTATGTAATATTTTTGTGAAGCAATGAATTAATTCAATTACTGATCTTCTTTATTTTAAATCTCAAAAAGTCTTGATCCATCTCTGTTAAATCAAATTGAAGATTTTCCAAGCGATTCCTGATTTTAAACTTGATTCTTGTGATTTTGGATGAAATTCCCCCTTTTGGTTAGTGATTTGGGTGTTTGCATAAACCATGATTCGTCTATAATGATTAGTTCCCTGATTTTAAAAAGATTCGATAACATATCCCGCACAATATGCACAGTGAATGATATTGATTTCACAGCCGTTTTTAGCGACATTGATCTATTTTTCACTTTAAAAGCGTGGATATGACATTTCATGGAATTTCCCCTTTTGACTTACCAGAAAATTTTTATTCTTTTGCTTTCTATTGATGATAACATTAGTATGATTTTAAAGTATGACTAACAAGAGCTAAATATCTCAGATCTGAAAACTCCTGGAAGCAAGCAAACTGAAAACAAAGTTAGTTTACTCGCTGAAGACCTTCTCATATTGGATTGTCCCGAAATTGATAGGTAACTTACATTATCTTTTGCCGGTAGGAGAGCCACAAACCCTAATTTTAACACGTTTTAAATATATAAGCAGAATATATAAATCCTGATACTTTTTCTCTCAACAATCTCTGGCTTAACATAAGTCAGTTTAATCCCTGAGAATGAAGGTATTTTTCATGGATCTCAATATTAGTGAAAGTAAAACGATATCAATAATTTCAGCAACCCCCCTGCCATTATCACATGGTATAAAGATAACGAACCTTTTCAAGATCTTGCCGCTTTTGTTTATCCATTTGAGGGGGAAGATTTCCAATACCACAGTGGTAAGTTATGTAGGAATTAGATCCGCTATTAGTATTACTTGTACATAAATTCAAATCATTGTCCAGTTTCCACAAACAATTTATTTAACATTTTCAAATATCTTCTTATAAATAACTTATTTGGCAAGCATACATTAGATTATCACTTTGGAAAAGATTCCATGTTAAAACTAAACCATTTTGATATACAGCGCTTGATACTCATACATAATAATTAATTGAATTTTAAAATAGCTACTTCAGAAGCAATGAAACTACAATCTTCTAGATAAAATGAGTCATAGTACTTTCAGCCGGAGCCATCATAAGTGACATAAATCTAAAAGATAGTATGGTTAGTTTCTAAATATAAACTCAAACTCTGAAAAGGAAACTGCCGTGAAATATGAAACATCAATAAAAGGACCAATTATTTAAAAAAAATAATTTATGGAAAGCCCCTCAGACAAAATAAAAATCAATTATGCAATAAAGGAATCTTAAAAGGGTTTGTACTATTTATTCCTGAGGGGCGGAGGGAATTTAAGGCATGTATATATCGGTGCTCCTTAACATCTAAACTACTAGGACTTGAATTTTCTAGGATACACACTGAAACACTATTGTTAAAATTTTCCTTCTGAGTCAGTCCATGCTCTATATGGAGGTGGAGTCCTACGCAGTTTGAGTCATCATCCGTGTCAACCTTTTGCCCAATGAAAATCTAAAATTCATCCTCTCAGAGACCTATACCGTAAAGAAGAACAGTCTAGTGCTGATGAGCATGACATCATCACACAACGGGATGTACAAGTGTCGAGCCACCAACTCAAAAACTCAACAATATTTCGATCTGAAGGAGTATAATGTTCAGAACCTTGCCAACTCAGGTTTGTCCACAATTTAGCCAGATGAGGTACTCGGAGTATCTTTCTTGTTTAAACTCAAGTCAGCACTCAGCAGGCACTGAGGTACTGGCTCATTTTAAAAACTGTTTTTGTTTGTTTAAAAAAATCAATTAATCAATTGATTGATTTGAAATCCCATATTTCCCACTCACTCAGCAACTCTCCCAGAATCATCATTGGAGGACATAAAACCTACAGTTCTTAAAGAAGGTCAGATCACAGTAGAGAAAGACAGCTCAGTCGACCTTTACTGTTTGGGTGTCGGCCACCCTGCCACTATGACCTACGTCTGGACTATCGGAGATGGAGTTGCGCTTGATTTCAGTGATAGGATTGTTCAGAGTGATTTTGGTAGACAGGTGACGATATCAAAGGCAGCATCAGCAGATGCTGGCCTTTACAAATGCTCCTGTTCAAATACTGAAGGAAACACGGACTCTTACATCACTCTTAAAGTCAAAGAATCAAGTAAGAAATTCAGTACATTAACTGAATATTGTCTATACAAAGAGGCTAGCCAGTAGCCAGTAGCCAGTAGCCAGTAGCCAGTAGCCAGTAGCCAGTAGCCAGTAGCCAGTAGCCAGTAGCCAGTAGCCAGTAGCCAGTAGCCAGTAGTCAGTAGTCAGTAGCCATTAGCCAGTAGCCAGTAGCCAGTAGCCATGCTTCTAAGCAGTTTATAACTAATTGAGTTATTTTGATGAATTTCCTTGACACAACCAACTTTTCCTCAGCTGCAGTTGCAGAGATCACCATAACAGGAGCTCCAGCAACTCTTTACATACATGACGTGTATCTGGGGGATGAAGCTATGAGTATCTTTATTCCTTGTACTGCCACCGGCGCTGACCAAGTCAGGTAAGGGATCAGTTTTGAGAGTGAAAATATTTGTAACACCCTAGCAACACTCTAGTAACACCCTAGTAACACCCTAGCAACACCCTAGTAACACCCTAGTAACACCCTAGTAATACCCTAGTAACACCCTAGTAACATCCTATTGTACTGCCACCGGCGCTGACCAAGTCAGGTAAGGGATCTGCAGTTTTGAGAGTGAAAATATTTGTAACACCCTAGCAACACTCTAGTAACACTCTAGTAACACCCTAGCAACACCCTAGTAACACCCTAGTAACACCCTAGTAACACCCTAGTAACATCCTATTGTACTGCCACCGGCGCTGACCAAGTCAGGTAAGGGATCTGCAGTTTTGAGAGTGAAAATATTTGTTGAATTTGAATAATGAATGTGCAGGTACTGCATTCTACATGGAAGACTAAACTGCAGTTTAATCGTAATCGAAACCCAGATTTAAATTTTAAAGTCTATAAACTTTCCTTTCGGTGGAAATTTTTGGAATTCCTCAAAATGAACCTTTTTTCCCTGTAACTTCTGTTTCACAAGAATTACAATCATGTTGAGCCACCTAATCAACCACCTAATGTGCCCTTCATATGCTCTTATCGTGCTCAAAGTCGTAACAAATTGTTTAACTCATTCGTTCCTCCATGTCCTGCACTGTCTATTCCTATTGTTGCTGTCTGTTTATATTGTTAGTGAATTAGTAGGCGGACACAACATTGGTGTATTCACCTGCTCTCTCAGCGACGGAAAATAAAAGTTGAAATACGATATTATAACCGATAAATCTTTTGTCCACCTCCGAAATGAGCCAAAAGTGTTTAACTAAGAATCTGTAATCTTAAAATAGTTCATAAAATACCTGAATTCATTACTTTTAAAAAAGTCTGACAAAATTTAAAGTTCAGTAGGAACTGATTTCGCTAATTTCTAAGCCTATCGGAGTAATTGCATAAATCATTTTTGTCTGTGTTATTTATATTTTACGTTTATGATATTATCAAATAAAAGTTCTAAACAAGGGATAGTTAAAAACAACGATTAATCTACCCAAGTCTTATCTTTTCCCAAGTCTAATCTTTCCCGTATCGTTTATGATAAATACATTTTTAGTTAAACGGAATATTAAGTCGGCCCTAAATGTAGAACTTCTCGAACAATCTACAAAGCCAAACGTGTTCCAAAAGTTATCATCACATTTTGTTTATCTGTACTAATGGACACCGCCGGTCTTGAATATTCGTGTTAAGTAATCAATTCGTATTATAATAAGGCATTAGTCAAATAAATCTGATTACAATTCCTGACGAATATTTATATGCGACAATTGTACGAGATGTAATTGCCATGTGGCCACATTATCAGATATTATTACATCTAACGCCAAAAAGTACACCAGAAAAATGAATCTTTATCACGAATCTATCGCCCAAACATTTCTCGTGTCAAAACATCCCTGACCCTAAGTCCTAACTATTCCCCATCTTTAGTCCCCATCTTTAGTCTTTAGCTTCTTCTTACCTCATATTTCTCCTCTCCAGATTTCTGAAAAATGGAGCACTACTAGACTTATCCTCTCGGTACACATTCAAGGAGAGTGTGGGCCTGACCTTCACTTCTTACGATAGTAGAGACAGTGGTGTGTACCAGTGTGTAGCCTTCAATTCCAAGCATTGGAAACAGAAGATGACATTTGTAATGATAACTGGTGAGTGAAAATACTGCTACATATTTATTCCGTCAAACTTCACTTCTCAATATCTGGATTTTGGCATAGTACTTTTTGTTGTTTGACCGCCTAGAGCTGATTTTGTGACGTACAAGTGAAAATACGACTAGACAGTAATTTTAGATAATTAAAATCTACGATCGTTTCAGAGAAAGTAACAGCTGAAGCGTCAGCGGATATAACGTTGTTAAATAGTGAAGCAAGCTTGTCTTGCGCAGTTACGGGTTATCCATATCCAGATGTTTCATGGTCTTACAGTGAGTTTTGCAATTTTTCTTAAAAACAATGGGCATGCAATCATGATTTGCTTGAAGCTTTGTTAGAATGTCGTAACATATGTCATCAGCCCGATTAACTCTTTACTGCTATGAATTCTTTCAGAAGTAACATAACATAACTCCCCAGACGACCAGCAAATAACGAACTCACAGAGTTCCCACTCTCCCTACGTGATAGACAAGCCTTCTACTCACCAACTCGTCATAAAGAACATAGGTTTTACAGACGGGGGCGTGTACACGTGCTCAGCGGTGAGCCGCGCACTCAACTACCAACCTGAGTACTCCCATACATCTACCAGTGAAGTGACACTAACCATAGGTGATTTGAATCCATCTCCCTTACCGGCCGATAGCGGAACGGTCAGTTTTAGCCACGCGCTCTGGACTCGGGCCATCTTGGCGCTTATATTGTCCATGCTATGATGGAGAAGAGTGCCAAGATGGCTTCACGGCTGTAGGCTTGCCATTCCATCAAGTGCGACATTAGCGATTCTGAAATTGTGCAGTGAGATCGATGTGATGAGAGAGTTTGTGCTAGTCGCTAAGTTATTGAGTGAAGCAGAAGAAATTCAGAAAACAAGATTGATACAAATGGTGTCGGCAATTGATCTAGATTAACCGACAAAATGCGCCAGGGGCTTACAAATACAAACAGCCCCCCTTTTCAATTGTTAAACGTCAAACATGCCCCCAAACGTGGGGGAATATCTATGTTCGGTAAAGTTTCAAGGAGATTGTTTGCGTGTCGAGTTGAACAGGAAATTTCCAAGGCCACAGTAAAGATAGTTGCTCCACATAAGACAACGACTACAAATTGTTCTTGTGTTTTACAGCTCTCCGCTGCTGCTGTTAGAGTAAGTGAATCACTCACCTAGCATCATATTTCACCGTGGTAACACAACTCATTAACAAAACATGTGAAAGTGAAACATTGCTTTGTACCCTAAAATGCATGCCTTATTTGTTTTCTACCTGTTCATCACCCTGTCCCATTTGTTTCCCTCTTTTGATGATCTACCCAAGCAAACTTTATTTGCTGACAAAGTATGGTTTCATTTGCTAATCAAGTAAGTTGTCATTTGCTGATTGTTTCATGCTTGTTGTGCTTATTACACGCGGAGGAAATGTCTTGACAGACAGACAGACAAACAGACAGACAAACATATGGACGGACAGACAGGCGGAGGAAGCACAGATCGACATACTTATCAACTACATATTGTGTAGGAGCAACTTTTCTACTGAAATTTCTGCCTCAGTCAAATTGTCGACGCCCAATGCCAATCTCTGGTCACAATTTATCTTGACAACTGAAAGACTCCAAATTTGCTAATTATAGTCAGATAATGTGTATTTTTGAAACAAATGCCATTTAAAAGTCATCGAAAATTGACAAGACGTTCATTTGAAAACCGAAATCTGTATAAGTATTTGACTGTATTTTTGTTTATGTTTCGAGGTCTTGCAGTCAATGATGATGACTTTAGTTAAATTCTGTAATTCATTTTAGTTTTACACAAATGGAGGCATTGCGAATGATAGTTTTTAAATTTGATTTGTACTGGCAGTTGTAACACTAGCCACCCTTGACAGGGTTTTCTTTGTCAGTAACCATTTGTAGTGGCCCTGTGGCCTAGCGATAGGTAGAATGAAGAAGATTGTAGGGCGTAGCCCTGCATGTGTTTTGGTTAGGAAATCTTAAATTATTCTCTTCGGGAGTGATTAGGAAGTTGTGATAGAGAAATTTTGTGTATGTTATTTCAATGGAATGACTACCCGAATAACCCTAATTCTACCGTTTTAGGATATGCAGATGTCGATGATATTTAATGCTAAACGTAAGATTTTAGGATACAAAATTGTTTTCGCCATGGTGTTGGGTATTTGTGCCCCTTTTTATGGCTTCGTGGTTCACTGGTATTTATTTATTGGCCGCTGGGACCCTAAATTTTTGTGCCTCGTTTCTGGCTATATATTGACTCTGACTTTTGCTTTGTATAATGTTATGTATATATTTATTATTGAGTATATAATTTCGGTTTTTGCAACGAAACAGCGATGTTCAGCAACGCTGTATGTGTTTCCCAGCAACGCTGTATGTGTTGCCCAGCAACGCTGTATGTGTTGCCCAGCAACGCTGTATGTGTTGCCCAGCTGGTAGTTGCGAGAACGTCAGTTTGCTTGAAACAAAGCGATATAATTTTAGAATTAAACATCCGGGAGGTTGATCAAGATGATGTATAATATATATATAATATGTTTCACGGGCATGGGAGTTGGGGCAATTTCGATCTATCTACAATATTTAAGGAGACAGATTTGTTTCCTCAGATTGAGAGACATATTTATCTTTTTAGATCGTGGGTAGAATTGTACACCCATAGTCCAACTTCGAGGAGACATATTTTCTCCGAAGCTGAGACGTTCAAGGTCTGTGTACTTGGACCCCTTTTCTTGGGAGGATAGCACGGAATTGTCCCAACTTGCCAGATCTTAATTTATATTATGAGTGATTTATCATGAAGAGCAGACCCCCTTAAAATAAACTGAAAGCTGTAGAGCAGCCGCCATGAACTGCGAATTAGAGAAACATCTCGATTGATTTTAATGCCGATGACGGACATGATTTTAATGAATATGACGGGATCGCCAAATGATCATGACGTCACCATAGTGTTTCCATGACAACTATTTTGTTTCTTCCGGGAGATGTACAATGATAGATATGATATGATATGATATTTTAATTTTTGTATTTTTGCCATTTGAAGCGTTGCAGATTTGTGTTAAACGCAGCCTGTGCTAAACCGCCAGAGTTTTATTTTAAAAACTTAGTGACTATAGGACTGTGCGTGACTTAAGTACACTATTTGGAGCAATTTTCATCGCTGACTTCGCATCTGTCACCAACTAATAAGCAACAAGGAATGTCTGTGTAATAATAAACGGATGTTTCGGCACGTATTGGCCTTTAAGAAGCTCAAACCAGGGAAAGTATTGGCCCCTCAGTTCTACAGTTTTGTTAAAACAATGCTTGGCAATCTTTAAAGGTATTTAAATGGTTGCCCTCAGGAGAGGAAAATACAGAAAATTGAAACTTAGGGTAGAATTGCATTATAAAAAGTTGCTGATCAGTATAATAGTAATACCGTTTCCACGCAAATTTAGGTTTATGGTTCCAATGTTCATCCCCTCCGAGCTCTAGTGTAGACACTGAATTCATTTAAGATTTCTTAAAGGATACTGTGTGTAAAAGAGGTTATTGTGCTGCTCTTCGATTCAACTTACCACCTAGATCAAGATGCTCCGATGGATGGATCCACGTCTTTTCAGCAGTTGCCAGTTCAACTGGATCCCATAGGTCAGGTGCTTACACGGAAATCATTTTCCTCCATGGTGCTTACACAGAAATCCTTTTTGACCACACTCAGAACAAAGTTATTATGAAGAGTATCAATCAACCAGCCTACATATCGTCTTCCATAGAACTAGACTGCTTGGCCCATTAATTGCTCTAGATATCGATCCTGGGATATTTCATTCAATTCAGAGACGCCTCGGGTGTGGTAATCTGTCTTCTTTTTGTATGAGCCTTTCGAGAACGGAATAGTTGGTGTTCGTACGATAAAATTGACATCAACGATCACGAGTATCAGAATGTGGAACGCAGATTTCGTTAACCCGGCAAATCTCGTTAACCTGACAGTTTACACAAATGTAAATGTAATTGGTAATGCTTACATAACGAAGCGAATTTGTAACTTTGTTTACACAATGCTGTAGGAAATGGAATGAGGGTCAATGTTATTCTTAGTTCCGTTTTACCTTGTTGAAGACCATGATTACCTGATATTTTCTCTAAATCAGTCAGTCAAGAAAATTGCTCCAAATATTAAAAAACATAGCGATAACAATTATTTATGTTATAGTTAAAATACTGACTCGACGGATAAAACTGCGTTTACTTTGTCTCTATAACAATTCATAAAAATGTTTCCAATTACGCGAACTTATATAATCACAATTCCTGCTTCTCACAATTCACTGCACATTGACATACCGCTATATAATAGTTTTAGATTTACCACAGGCAGCAGTTAGTATAGGAGAGCAGTGGGACCAAGGAAAATTTGTAGTATCTGTTAGGGAACTGGAGATCAGTAAAGATGATCTGGATCTTGCTAATAGTAATGCTTTATTCCAGATTCAAAAATCTATAAATGTAAGTTTGTAATGGTGTCAATACAATGTGAATTGTGAATGTGATTATGATCAAATGTTTGGATACTACGTTTCCTGAATCCCCTATCTTTGATCAAATCTTGGAATGTAAATTCATTTGATTATAGTTAGTAGTTACACCAATAGTAATACGTCAGAGGTGATTCTCTGACACGTTGCGACCTCCTTTTTTTCCGGGGCCGGGCCACTTCTGACTTCACGACCCTGATGGAGCACGGAGGAGACAGGTAACGTCTGGCAAGTAACCAGGCACTCATTTACCTGTCTTTAATTGTTAATCTGATCTTGGAATGAAAATTTATTTGATTAAAGTTATACCGATACATCAAACTCAAAGAGCTGATTCCGTCGAAAAGACTTCGCCGATTTATGTAGCACTGCTTGTGCTAATAGTAATGGCTCAGCTTATTACTTACTTTAATTGCATTTACTATAACTATAAGCACAATCGAATCTGCAAAAACATCCACGTCTGAAGATAAAACTTTGGAGTTTGGACCGCCATGCGCTCGAAATCAAATTACCTCATGGTTATCTAAAGAAGTAGAGGACGTCCAGAGAATTATAGAACGCAAGATCATTACACGTCTTACACTTACAGTTACTGGCTTCCGCCCACAGAAAATCAAATGCTGTACGTGGCTCGCTCTTATATGTCTTATAGTATTAGTTATAGTTAGAGAGGGTAGCGATACAAGCAATTTAATATAATCCTATTCAACTCCCAGTCCCAGCGAATGAGCGAAATTAAATGCTTATCCACGGCTTTGGGAACTTTTTGCCTGGACACAGAATTAGTTAAACTTAAAGAATCCGGAAGCATGAACAAAATTATGAAATCCTGCAAGCTTATTGTGCAATGATAACAAAAACATGCACTAGTGACTAGAAGCTGTTTACATGGATGCTTCCCTGGAGAGTTATTCAGTTATGCAACAACAAAAATCAACTCTTTTTCAATTGTCATTTGTCAGGGCCCTAGAAAACTCTCGAATATCGACTGTAGAGTGTAAACTGATTTAGCACGCTCCCCCGTAAGGTGTAAACTGTAAACGGAACTGCATGAAGCCGTATAAAATGAGTGGTTCTATTTCTAATTCCATGTTAACGGGTGATAGTGATACTCGTAAAATTTAAAATATTTGTTCCAAATATTAAAAGTAAGACCGTCGGCGAGTCCAACTCCGCGAGCGTCTTGGTAGATTATAAACCTACCAATTCTATGGTATGAATTATGAAATGACTCTTATTTGGAAAGCCGCTCCACAAACTTACAACAATTGTGTCTCAGAGCAAGAAGTTGTGATGAAGGCAGCAGCAACCAGCGTCACTGCCACTGTTGACGACACACTAAAGTTGGGGTGCACCGCTAATGCTAAACCGACTCCAAAAGAGGTTGGTATTTAATTTTAGGATCGTGTTAGTTATTGGTTATTTCATTGGTATTAAATGGTGAAGATAAGTTTTATATGAGTTATATATTGCGGGTATATTAACTGGTATCATCCGTAAAATAGAGGAAGATCTTTGTACAACATATCTTCAAAGTATTTTTATGAAGTCATGCCAGATTTCTAAGAATTCTCGATATGCTATAGTTGATGAACATTTTTGTGGCCGTATTCTATAGCATTAGCAACAGGCTTGCTTGTTACTGCATTTAGGATTTACGTCTAGATACCCCATTTACGATCTTATACTCTATCACGTACCTGATAATGATATTTCATTATCGACTCATGCCGATTATTAGAACAAGGAGTACAGTAGTCAGAAGACATCGTGACGCTCAATTATCGCTTAATTAGTAATTAGGTACCGCTTTGACATACGTTGCATGCCACTTTTCGCGCGCGAAGCGCGCGCCGCCGAAGGCTGATATTGGGATACGAAACATGTATCAAGTACCGCTTAATTTATTAATTAGTTAATGAGCGTGCTATGTGTGCTATCTATTCAGTAGTTTTGCAGCCTAGGGTTTGTCTGACCAAACCAGCTTACAAATTCCTCATGTAATATTTGCACTATATGCACTATGCAGCCAATACTTTATAAATGCAAATGTAATTATCTGTGATTGTGAAATTAGTTCAATATGATATGATATAATTTGTACCAAGAAATGTCAAACAATACCAAAATATACCAAGAAATTGCAATTATAAGTCGGGATCATTAGTAAAAAAGCTAAAAACTCACAGTCATTATTGAGAGTGAATCACGTACAGTGTACACACATAGATTACGTAATCGATGATTATAACAAGAATCATAATAAGAATCATGTCATGTCATAATAATTTAAACAACAGGCAACGTAACGCCACTGGTAAGGGCCCGACTTTTGTCATCATGACTTTCGTCACGAGTACAGGAACGACCTCTACACACAGTGCCATTTGTCACGTGTGTTGTCACGTGTGTTGTCACGTGTTCAGAGGTCCGTGTTCGGACCCTAATGCTTACTGAGTCCGGATTCCGGAACACTTAAAGAGCCAAGTTCATTTGCATATTGAAGCTTATTATCTATAATCAGCTGTTAGTGTTATAATGTTAGACTTAGAGTTATCATTATTTCAGGTAACATGGTATGTTAACGGTACTTTGATAGACTTGAAAAAGGAGGAGTTTAAAGACATTGCCATAACAACGAAGGTCGTCAATGACCACCAGGCTTACTCGGAGCTGACTATTAAAGATATAAAGATTTCAGATGGAGGTTAGCTTGATGCTCCTATTTATTGGATAACTGCTACAGATATCCCACCCAAGCTTATTAATTATATATAATTAATGAGCTTGGGTGGGATATCTGTAGCAGTTATCCAATTTAACGATTCTCACATCACATTACATAATAGATTGAGCCTTATCACTTACCAGGCATTGGTTTACATAATGTAATTTTCATTAATTATATTTGACCAACGCACTTGAAAATATTAACGTATTTGATCTATTGAAGTCAGATCTCAGGTAGATTTACAATCACATTTGTACTGATACCAGATACTATAGTAGCTGAAGTTTTGAATTTTGAGTTTTGTAATTGCCTGCTAATATTTGCCTGCTAATTGCCTGCTAATTGCCTGTTAATTGCCTGCTAATATTTCGAACATTTTCAGGAGATTACAAGTGTGAAGCTAGTAACGCCGCTAAGGGGGTACTCAAGCTCAGCAGTGCGGAAACTAAAGTTCTCGTCAAATATTTAACGTTTGTGATATTTTTTGTTAAGTTTAATTAATTTATCTACATATTGTCAAATTACAGTCAGCACTCAGCGCAACAAGGATAAAGATGTTGAATGCTCTGATTTAGAAGAAAAGAATCATGAATGTTTACTAAATTTATATTTCTTTATTTTTTACATTCAATACCTAATGTTTAACAAAACATTTCCTTGCGTTTGAGTTGAGCTAATCTCTCTACAGAGTGACAGTGGATGATGGTATTCGGGAGATAGCAGCTGGTGATAAGGTTGTGATCACGTGCACTGCTCAAGGAAGTCCTGCACCCGAGCAAATCAGGGTACATACAGGCATTTTATATACTTAGATTATTTGCCCAATCTAAAATTACATTGTAAATCGCAATTGATATTGTAAATGTCTGTAAATAACTTTTAAATAAATGACTTATTTTTTGTCTCTTTTTTTTTTCTTCACCCATTCTTATTTCATTCTAATATCCTCTTTTTCGCTCTAACTCCTCGAGCCCTTCAACTTCCTTTCCTAATTCTTTCTTACGAAACCCGCTTATTAGTTTATTCACTTTTCAATGGTTTCACTAATTCTCTAATTTCCCGCAGTGGTTCTTGGGATCTTCAGATGGTAAAGTAATTCAAAACACGGACGCTGGCTTCAAGATCTCTAACAAACCTGACTCTGAAACGGGTTACCAGAGTGTTCTGGAAGTAGAGAAACAAACGTCTGATCAGGTTTATATTCTTATTACAACTTTACAATGTTTTATTATTAATGTGCTAAAGTGTACTAAAATGTGCTAAAATGTGCTAAAAAGTGCTAAAATGTGCTAAAATATTTTGTTAAAACCATCTGAGACATGTTAGTGGTGTCTCCATTGGTTTTAAGTGAGATTAATTTCAGGATTACGTCTGTGAAGCTACCAGTTACCTTAACAACGTCGCTCAATTCGATGCTCACAAAATTATCGTCAGAACTTGTAAGAGTTGGGGACTGTGATTATTTACATTTTTCTTGTGTGCATCTGTCAGTGCTCTAAATTTCTGGTTTATCAGTTATTGTGAACCAACAATAATGCAGCCTAAATCTTTTTCTTGAACAAAATCAGACAAACAAAAACTTCTTCAGATACTGGAACAGAGGCCACCAGAGCCACTTCATTCGTGTCAACGGATGAGGGTGACAGTGCTTCGCTCACCTGCTACTGCTCCGGTGTTCCCTTACCTACAGGTACAAATTGGTAGCTCATTTCACTCTTAAGTTTTACTTTTACCGTCACTTTCACTTTCATATTGAATGAGAATGTCACTGCATATTTTCTCAATAATTCTAGTTGCCAAGTATAAGGTCAAGTTTTAAAAACTGAAAACATATTAGTATTGCTATAGCACTAGATATCAGTTCATAGATCGTCAAACATGTCCCAACTTTGTAAGTAAACTATTAATGCTTTTCAAATAAAGTTACAACGAATTCTTCATGTAGTGCATCCTGGGTTTGGACAGGACATGCCCGTTCAAAATATTTCCATCACGTTACATTACATAATTCCCAAGAAATGTAATAGATTTGTAGTGTTGTAATTAGTTTAAAACTATGACATTTTCAGAAGCTACTTGGAAGAAGAATGGAGTACTGATCCTACCTACAGCCTCACAATCTATTACCAACACTCCTGCATGTAAGTATGAAGGGAGGAAACACGATTACAATTTGTTATGCCCTCTTTTTATTGCCGCATATTAAGGAAAATGGGAATATATCATAACCCCGGTAATAATGGCCGGAATTATGGCCGGAAATAGACACGGTAAAATACAGATAAGACAAATAGAATCAATGATTACAATATGATTTTAACTGGAAATCCCGTTCGGACCGGAAATAATACAAAATTGCATTTGTTTTGCCCTCCTGGGAATATATTCCCCCCGGTAATAGGAATTTCTTAAATCAAAAATGAAGAATATTGGATAATCAGAATCCAGTAAAAGGCAGAAATAGAATCAATGACGTCAATTTTATTTGCACTGGGAATCCCGATCGGGGAGATAATCCCCCGCCCTACAAAATACCTTGACTTTCGGTAAACAAATTCCAAATTAAATTCAACAATAATTACAGATGATCCGGATTTCAAGCTGACCAGCGTCCTAACCTTCAAGAACCCTTCCTCCACTGACATAGCGGCTTACACCTGTGAATGTGCAAACAGTTTCCAGGACAAGACCTACACTGACCAAACAACTGTCGAGCTCAGAGTCGGTAAGTTACTTGGTTATCTCGTACTGCGAAAACCAATTCTAATTTAAATTTACTGAGGACGATTAACACATGTTTTTATAGCTCCTGTTACTTAATCGTATCATTTATATATTTCGAGAAGTGAGAACCTTCAACCTGTGTTGATATTCAGCGAGGAGTATACAATTTATGTCACAACACTTTTCGTTTAGAATAAGGGTTAAGGACACGGGTTGTTGGTAGAGTTATGGTTGGGGAAGGGACAAGGGTGTGTATTAGGTTTCAAGTCATGACTCAGGAGGCCGAGGGTCATTACAGTTCTTTTTATTTATTCTCATCTTCCTAGCTTTCCCAATATCGGTTACACTAAGCGGAACAGAATTCGGAACAGAAGGCCTAGATGCAAAACTGACATGCGTTGCTATTGGATACCCAGTAGCGTCACAAATCACGTGGTCAGTTGATACCAATCAGAAGGACAAATATCAGACTAGCAATAGTAAAACAGTGACTGGTTACACAGAGGTTTAGCAGCATTCACTTTCACTTATATCCTGGTTACACAGCTAGGTTTAGCCTTTCACTTTCACCTGTTCACCATGCCATTGAAAGTTTTTCAAATTACCTTTTTAGCACAATTGTGCTTCTAGAGGATTGCTTTCTTTAAATGATGTAGACTCAATCTCATTTTCACTTATACTGTCACTTTCACTGACAATTTTTGTCGTGTAGGTGTTAACAATAACGAAACTAGCACCCGTTGACGACAGAACTTACAATTGTACAGCACAGAACACAGTTAAGGGCGAGAAACACACTGATTCAGCAGAATATAAGTTGTCCTTGTGTAGGTCCAATTGTTGAGAAGATAAAACTATATTTTTGGGAACATGATGTTGTTTTCTCCTACTATATACCCACTACCCAGCCAATGTGTACAATTATTTTGTGATATTAGTGCAATCTGATCTTTGTTAGATGGAGAGGTCTAGTGCTCGAATTCTGCGAATATTAGATACAATATGAAATCTAGTCTTACATCGTTTTGGATTTTAAATTACATTACATTATATATTTAAGAATAATAATTTTTGGAGTAACTGATCTACCATACTCACCATGGTTCTTTCAGTGACCCAAGTTTCCATCACATGGAACGCTGAGAACCCGAAAGCTGCACCGTACAAGAAGGAACTGAATCTTTCTTGCACCGCTGCCGGTAATGTTATCTCTTTTCATCTGTAGAAATGACAAATCTTTTAGCAAAAGCTAAAGAATCAAGCTTTAACGATTCAGATTTAATGAGTGTGTTAGTAAATCCGGGAGTTGGTGAATGGCATTAATCCATCATCTTGAATTTTTGATTTGTTACGATTTTTTTCTTCAGGTCTACCCCGACCCTCATCCATTGTGTGGAGCAGGAAGCTCACTTCGTCCAATGCAGATCAGTTCATCCTACTTCAACCTAACACAGGAAGGTATGATAAATTGTAACCCATGTTTTTGTTTATAATTCGACTTTTGCAGTTCTAGTTCACCTCTCCAAACTGTTTACCTTCTCCTTCTTTTGTCATCTGTTTATGTTTTTTATCCACCTTCATTTCCTTCTTCAACCTAACACTGGAAGTTCTAATTCACCTCATCAAACTGACTGTTCTGTTTACCTTCTACTTTTTTATGTTTCTTGTCCAACTTTATTTCCTTTTTCCCTTTTCTCTGCTTATAATAATTATTCTTCAGATTTAAGATGAACGAGACGGCGGTAGATATCTCAACTCTACGAAGCATGTTGACAATATCTGCCACGGAGTACGATGACGACGGAACATACAATTGTTACGCAGACAACAAGATCGGCGACGTGGTATATTCTAGAAACGCCCAGAGTACACTCCTCATTTGTTAGTTGTTTATTAGATATATACAATCAACTAACTAATAAGTTAATAAATTAACTTTAAAATTATTCGTTCAATTGAACATCAGCAACAATTATAATACAATAAATTATAATATAATTATTAATTATTTTCAACACATTCCCTTACTCCAGATCAAAACCCGACCGTTGTGATGGCAGCTTCAGAACGGGCAGGAGATCCAGACGACAGCGTGGAACTTTCCTGTACAGTTTCCTCCAAACCAGCTCCCACTAAGTTGGAGTGGTTCTTTGGGGACACCAAGGAGGCTAACCAGCCTACTAGTACTGCTAGTGGTTACGTTAGGAGCAGTCAGTATACCGTGAGTAATCCTATCTTACCCTGGCCCTTTCACTTTCACTTTCACTTTCACTTTCTCTTTCATTTTCACTTTCATTTTCACTTTCATTTTCACTTTTCAAACTATAAATACTAACAGAGCTAAAATATTTGGTCCAAATTACATTTACTTGCTATCATTTGACACAACAATTTGGTCAGGTGAACGCTCTTTCCGGCACAACAGAAGGAAAGTATCGATGTGTAGGATTCCACACTTACGAGGGTAACGAGGCGACCGGAGAGGGATACACTTACGTCAGGCTGCGTAAGTAAAAATATTCAATTACGCAAATCAATAAAATAGAATAAAACGGAATTTCACTTTAATTTTTACTTTTATAATGGTGAGCCTTCTTTTAATTTCTTCTATTTCAGATCGCCCGTACTCGGTAACCTCCTCGAGTGTGCCAGTAGCTGCTGAGTTAGTTAACGAGTACACCGCACTGAACCTCACCTGCACTGGTCTGGGGGTTCCTGAGGTCTCCCTGTTCAAGTGGACAGTGGGCAGTGTGCTTCTTAATAGTGATGTAAGTGTATCTTGGAGGAAAACTCAAATTTAATCGCGATCTATCCACTATCCATGCTTTAAAACTCGAAATCATTTTGAATATGAAGTAGTACGAAGTAGAGTTCAGCGGTTTTGCTGCAACAGTATAATACATCTTAACAGTTTGACTCTGAGTTGACATTTGTCATATTAAAAACTAGCCTACAAAACCATCTCAATTTTCACTTCCACTTTAACAGGAGATAACAAGTAATATTGGGACCATGAGGACGGTAAAAAACTACGAGAGACCAGATCTGAATATAGAAGTTACGAGCACGCTCGTGATAGAAAGTGTCAAGTACACAAACCTGGGTCTCTACAAGTGCGCTACCACTCAGGTTCGGGCTGAAATGTTGTAGACTCAAGTACACTTTCACTTTCACTTTCACTTTCGCTTTCACTTTCACTTTCACTTTCACTTTCTTTTACACAAACCTGGGTCTCTACAAGTGCGCTATACCACTCAGGTTCGGGTTGAGATGTTTGAGTTGTTTAGTTGCACTGACAAAGTTTGTTATTGGTGATTAGAGGTTTTATTTTGGGGATAGTTTTTTGATAAACTTCAATTTCAAATCAAGAATAAGTTTTTTATCACATCTTTCCATCAGACATGGGATAGTGAGACAGCTTCCACCAGCAAATCGTTCAACATATCAGTAAACTTTGACGCTAAGTTAATGTCAGGAACAGGGTCTACAGAAGTCTTTCAGAACGTCGGAAGTCAGGTGAATATGTCACGTGATTATGCATGCAATATTTCACGTGATTGAGAAGTTTTATTTTTCATATTCAATAATTTTTGTTAGGAACCCCGCAGTATAATGTATTATTTAAATGCAGAAATGAATTGAAACCGTCCCAATCAGTCGTAATATCAGTCCAATATTCCCCATCAGATTCGTTTAACATGTACAGTGTACGGTAACCCAGCTCCGGATGATGTCACGTGGCAATGGTCAGATGGTGCTGATATCACACACGGAGACCACTTTAATATTGTTAATATAGAGAAAAACTCCTACCAAAAGCAAAGGTACGTTTATATAGTTTCATGATAACTTACTAGCTGAAGTATAGCTCTGATACGTCGGATTAGATACTGTAAGACTGGCCTCCAGCTCGCCATTTTTGAGATTCAAGCAAATCGAGGATGTTAAAAAAAGGTGCAGGATGTTCAGCTCGACAAAATATACCGGTGGAAATTATTTCATAGGCCCTAAAACTACTCCTCCAGATCCAGTTTTAACCTTAAATTGTACATAACTGATTCAAATCGTTGAAGCTATCTGCAATTCTTGTTTTCCTCCAAAAATTCGTGACGTCATCAATTCAACATTTGAATTTCAACTCATCACTCAGAAGAACCATCATGACAACCCAATTTCAGCAATCTGCAGTTTACATTCCTCCCGCTATACCACAACAAGGACATCAAGTGTATGAGTAAAAACGCACTGTCAGCCAACGAACAGAAACTAACCTTCACTCTCAGTATGAAGCCGAACACGATGAGTATCATTCAGAGTAAGTGACCACTGACCCTGTACTTCCCTTCCACTTGACAGTTCATTATATAGCGTTACTTCTCTCGTGTGACGTCATTATACTCACGTGACGTCATCATATTCATAAACACGTGACGATATTATACTCACCGTATCTAACGTGATGTCATCTCTCTTTTCAGGTGGATCCGTTAAGGGTGGAGAGACAGTCGCACTCACGTGTCTGACAACTTTTAGCGATGGGTTGATTGCTTGGTACAAGGACGACCAACGTAATTATACTAATGAATTACAGTTTTACCTTTTAAACTTTTAAAAACGATAATGATCATTTTTAATGCTGTGTGTTGTAGCCGTTGTTATTTTATTATGAACAAAAGCTGAATTATAACATTCTACGGATTATAATTTTCTTCCATTTGTTATCCATCGTATAAGACGACTCTATCATATTCTCATGGTATTATTTGCAGTGCTGAACTCCAACAACAGACTAACCTTCGCTACGAACACAACTTATTCAACAAAGAATTCCGTCCTCACCATTGCAGATACTGATGAAACTGCAGATTCAGGTTTGTCTGTTATTCACAGGATTATATTTTGATGTTCTGAACAGGGATAGATCTTTGAAATCTCTTTCTGTTGGTCGAAACTATTGTCTCCTTTAATTCTTTATCAACATTCTATTTAAAATTAATTACTAATATCTTATTATCATTAATATTATTAATATCAATTACTCCACAGGAAACTACACTTGTAAAGTAACGGACGACGCTACTTCGCTCACAACTCATTTCGAGCTCGTTATCGGAAGTAATATACCCCTTACAATATTCTTTAGTTTTACCTTTGTAAAAATTAAACCCATAAAAGCTGACCCATTTTTAATGAAATTAAAAGTTCAAAGTCACTCGTTTCTGAAATCAACAATCAAACCAGTGTCACACCAGTGTCACACCAGTGTCACACCAGTGCCACACCAGTGTCACACCAGTGTCACACCAGTGTCACACCAGTGTCACACCAGTGTCACACCAGTGTCACACCAGTGTCACACCCCCTCTTCCTCCAGGCGGAGTTTCAGCCGAGACGAGTAAAGGACTGAGCACCGGAATAGTGATAGCTTTGTCCGTGTTAGGAGTATTTATAGTGATAGTACTGATCCTGATTGTAGTGGTCTTCTTGCACGGCAGGAGAAGGAGAAGAGCCGGGAAGAGGTTTGACGAGAGGAGTCAGCCTGATAGTTATGAGAACCAGGTATGTAGTGTTAACTATAGTACAGCTCTATGATTGGCTAGTTTGAGTCACGTGAATTATATTTGATCACTCTGATTGGTTGTTTATGGCTAGCTTCCTGATTGGTCAGATTGATTCGTACGACAGAAATACATTTCACTCCCAAACCCACAATCATAAATTAATAACTCCGCAGGCGTTTGACGACAGGAACCTGCCTTCTATTATCACCATGCCTGATACCGCCGCTGATAACCTTCCAAAGGTAAGATAACAACATCACACTGTCGGTCTGTATAGTTCGTCCTGCATTATCGGACAAATTCTTTCGCCTGTTTGTGATGGAACTGAAATCATTCGGTATTTATTATTAGTAGTTGTAATTTCGATACAACTTCGATCCTTGGCCGCATCGTACGTAACCGTTATAAAACTTTTAGAACTTCTAGAACTTGTCTGATTTACTACTTAATTCAGGTGGTAGAGCCAATTATACTCAGTAAAAATGAGCCTGACCATGACATTAAGGAGGCGACCATCATGCAACAAGCAACTCTCACTCAGCAGAGGAAACGAGTAAGTTGGAGATATCTAATTTTGTATCTATATTGACAGAAACTGACTTGTACGACATTGATCTACCATAACAATGAGCAGTAAGACTCTTAAAATATTTGATAAATAAATCTCGATCTTCAGATGTATTGAAAGACCGGACCGACTTGACTTCTCGCCGACTTATACAGAAACAATTCAAACTTATTGACGGACCCTTAAACTATTTAACGACAATTTGTAAATGAAGTTTGAGACAAGAGACTATGGGATGTTAGACAAAAAACCGTTTTAACGACCGACTGAGATCACTTCAGTCCTTAATCTTTTCATGACATTTTTCTAGTTTCAGCCATCTTTCTAAAATTAGCAACTTTTTTATTTCTATCATTGACCTGATCAGTACAACTGTAGTTGGTCGCAAACTGCAGCCTTAAATTTTAGGAGATCGTCTTTGGGAATTTTTCATTCAATTTTAATATGAAATAAGTGGTGTTGCTTGATTTACAGATCGACAAAGTGTAAACTCAATTAATCATTGATAACATATCAGTTTTACCAAATAATGCTTTTCTTCAGTTTTCAGTGTACTGTATCAGTAAAGCAAACTTTCGGACAATTATGATACACAACTTTTTTCGTATATTAAAAATGTTAATTAGGTAATAACGTCTAAACTATTAATTATTAATTACTTGTTCTCGTAGAATCCGAACATAGGAAAATCTCAAACACTGGACACTAGAGGTGGAAAGTCAGGCTCCTCTGGTAATCCTCCTCCTCCTTCCGATCACTACACTCTCGACCATCGTAACAAACGGGTAATTAACAAATTATCAATTAGGGGTAATTAACTTATTATCAAGGGGCAATTAACGGGTTATTACGGAGCATTTAGACGGTATTCAAATCGTATTTAGTGGATTAGCAATCATTAATCAACGGGCAATAAACATGAAACATTTCTTAACTCGTTATACTTTCCAGGATTGGTACTGATAGACTCTTGGAGGCATTCATTATTGTAAATTAGTTTCTTCCTTCTTGAGAAACGAACTCCACTTTTCAGACTCTACGAATTTTGAATCGCACGTCAGCATGAATAGATTTGCCCAACTTTCATCCACTTTTGTTTGTACTGGACAAATAAATAACTCACACTATTATATTGCTGGACAGCCAAATAAATAGTTTATTTGTTATACGTTTTACACAAGTTACTTAAAAATAAGGAGCATGAGTACTAGTAGCTTAGTAGGTTGTGACAATAAATAATCCTATCCTATCACACTATTTTACCAATCCTATCACACTTTTTACCAAATTAAATCAATGCTATGTTTATAATATGTAATTTTAAAAATAATCTGTTTTTCATACAGTGAAATTAATTTTAAACCAAAACTTTTGCTTGACTTTTATTACATTTTTTATAAATTTGCTGCGTGCCATCAAAATAACGAATTCAAAATTTATATTCCATTAATTGCAGTTTGTTTTAGTACAAGTAAGAAAGAAGTATTTATTCAACATATTCAAGATGTTTATACAGTTTAAAATTAGTAATCAGCAGAAATTTACACGTATATTCAATGCTTTATAACTGTTGAGCTAAGACTGAAGACCACCGTGATTCAAACTATATCCATTTATAAAACACGTAATCACAGTAAATAAAAAGGATTAAAAGTTATTTTTAAAAACTGATCTCTCAATATCCGACAGACCCTTACTAAGTAACAATTTCTAACATTAAACAAGCTCTGTCTCGATCTGCTTCTTAAGTTCATTAACTTTCTTCTGTTCCTCGCACTGCTTCCTGTTGTAGCACTGTATGTCGAGTCTGAGTGCCGTCTCGTGTATCTTGCAGTGGTTTTTATGGTCACGTGTCATACGATAGTAGCCTCCCTCGCCCCAGTCTTTGCCCCAACTGTTCCTGATCAGCCAGTACTTCTTACCTCCCTCCTCTCCGTATCCGACTAGGTTAACAGCGTGGTTAGGATATGCGGTGGCCCTACACAAGTAGCGGTCGTAATAAATCCCTGATTTGTAAGCTAGAAGGGACCGTCCACCCTTGACTCCCACACTGACTACCCCCTCGACCACTGCTTGCAGCAAAGCTGATTCAGTTTTAGGGACGCGATACAATCGTTTCAGGCCTACATTTATATAACTGTTCAAAGTCGTGTTTTTTTTACATTCACCGTCTTTAGCCACATATTTGTAGTCCTCACGTGACGCTAGACGTTTCTGCCTGGTCACCCAGAGGAACCCCGTGTTGATGGAAGCCCCCTTACAGCCATTACCCCATCTTTTTTCTTCGAACACGCAGTCCACTAGTTCTTGGTAGCTGAACTTCTTCCTCAGTCCTGTTGCTCTGTAGTACGCTGACTCGACGGAAGAGATCGCGCTGAAGGCCCAACAGCTGCCACACTTTCTCTGATGTTCAGGCTCTGACATGGTGTAACTCCAGTTAATACTCTCCGGTAATTCCACTGCATCTCTTTTCTCGACAGCTTCGTCTTGTGGCTCAAATTCAAAGTCCGTGTCGTTCTCAAACATTTCGTCGTCAAAGCTTGCACTCATGTTCATCCCAAAGTGGGTATTCAAGTCACTCTCTGACTCTATGCTAAACTTGTTGATTTCTGCAGTGAAGGAGAACGTATCGTCGTGATTTATCTCGTTTACAAGTTCAGAGTACTTCTTGAAGTTCTTGTAGCTAGATCGACGAGCAGCTTTGTCAGGGCCAATAGTTGTATCGGGCAGATTCATTTTCTGGAACTGTGGAACCTGTGGTCGGTTTGGTAGTTAGAGTAACAAGCGTCCAAGCAGTTTCAAATGTGCGGTTATCATAACAACAAATCTGATGTAAGGCATACTAAATCATGGCATCAAAAAGTCGTGATCTACAATATAAAATTCAAAGACTCAAAATTCATTGCCAAGACTGTAGAAATTAAAGTAGGTATAACTATAAGTTACGAAGTATTTACTTACATTTTGAGGGGCTGTGTTGAACTTTTTTAAAGCCTCTCGATACTCCTTTGCAATCTTTCTGTTACTCAGCTTAAATGTAGAAACAGCGACATTGCACAACATCAAGAACACAAGAATAGAAAGACTCCGCATTGTTAAAAAGAAACGAAGGAAGATTTGAAAGAACTAACGTTGATCAAGCTGAACGCAGTATTTATGTCATAGAGGAGCTTGTTAATTAATAATAGCCTGGTCCTGAGAGTCCTCTGAAACAATACAATCAGCCAATGATAATGGACCCTGTTAAAGTGGTATAGTAGTGATAATAGAATGGCATGACATCTGAGCCTATTTAGCACGAATCCTGATCGTTTAGCTAGTTTGATGTTGTCAATGTATATTGATACTTCTTACCGCATCACTAAACAAATGAATAGTCATAGCGTTAGTGTAAATTTAAACTAGTCATGATTTGTGACCAATCATAAAGCATGAAAACGCTCATTGGTGATATGTGTTTGCTTGTGAACGAGCAATTTAAAAAATTAAATGTTGCTAAGCGACAACGTAGTAAAAATTGTATGCGATTTTATTATAACGCCTATTTTTTCTCATTTCAAACGTGCAAAGTTTTCTGTTGATAACAAAAAGGAAAGGAATTGCTCAAAAGTAGCTGCTCCCATGCAACCCTTTAATAACTTACGCAATTTTAGTATACACTTACAGTATATAAAACAAAATTTAGTAAATCAAAATTTAAATTCTATTGCCATTACAATGAATAATGATATATCATAATAACTATAAGTAAACTTAACAAGTTTATATTATCAGATGTTTACAGTCTGTAAACATCTGATAATATAAACTTGTTAAGTCCTATACAACCCAAAATGTCGCCCGACTAACAAAATAAAAAGAGCTAGCATGTTTATAGTTCTTCAAACGCGCATACTTTAAGTTTACTTAGGCTGTACGGAAATAGTTATAATTTTACGTCATATTAAAAACTTGCAACATCATTTAATTTTATGAGATACAAAAATAAATTTTATCAAATTTTAAGAATATTAACAATTAATTTGATCGGCAGAATAGAATATGTTTTTTAAAATTATTTATAACTCTTTTCGTATTAAAATTGAATTGCACAAACATTGAAAAATTGTCGATTGTTATTCATAATCATATGGCCCATGAAAAACCTTGTATCACGTTGTGACCCCCACTGTCGCTTCACTATAGTGTTTCGACGATACAGGGGGAGCCGCGCACTCGTGCGCGGCGGGTCATACAACATATGACCAAAAAAACCTTACCGCGTGCCTGGCGGGCTTGCTAGAAGTGATGATTGATAATTTTTTGACCATTGTTAATGATCTGGCCCGGCGCGCGCTACTTCGTAGCTCGTGCCATAACATTTCGAGAAGAATGCGGCGCGCGCTACTTCGAAGAAATTTAGACGAGTAACATCCGTCAAATAATTTTTAATAGCATGCCTAGATTACTTAAGCTTGAAAAAGCGGTAATATCTTAGCAAAATATAACTTGCAGCAGCCCCATACCTTGTCATGAACATAATATCGAAACTACCTCTGTAACCACATCTTTCTCTGGGTGCAAAATGAATATATAAATTTATAGGTTTATTAGTTTTATAGAAATTTAAAAGTTCTATAGAATTTTATTATAGAAGGATTATTAACATTTTTGTTTGTGTGTTTTGTGATATGCATTTTTATACCTATTTTAGAAGAGATTTTTATAGAATGTTAGAAGTGCAGTAGGGTCAGATTCAGACAAATTAAGCATAAATGACATCATTGCCATGTCTGAAGTGGTTTGTAAATGGGCCATTGTTAGCCCCAAGCGTTTTGGTCCGTCATTCCTGCCACTCAGCATTGCCTACTGTAAAGTAGAAATTTTTCTGAGACAATAGAGAAACTGACCTTGTCTCACTAAATTCAACCACTTTCCATAATAAATATACTAACAAATAAAGTTTTTAAAATAATTATATTCAACCACTAAAGAATATTTCCTCAAGTTTACTTTTAGTTAACTAATTCGTGGTTTAAGCTCTTATTTTATTTATGAAAGGAATGTAAAATAAAACTTATTGTTTCATTGAAAACTTATTGTTTCATTGATGTTCGTCGTCGCGCTTGTAGCTAGCGCGATGCACTACTGGGCCGCGCCGCGCATCCTTTCGCAACCACAACCAATCGCCGCACATTTTTCGCAACTTCCGTAGATCGACGAAATGCACCACTAGGGGCTTTGCCGGCCGAGCTGATTCACATTGTGAATCAATATGTAATAAATGCAAAGGCTATGGTTAGAGAAAATTAACAATGAACAAGTGAATAATCTTAGCTGGGGACCTCAGGCTATCATCATCATGTTCATAAACGCTGAATAGCGATTCGGCGGAATGATAGGCTAGGCTAAGCGCGGCCCAGTAAAAATGACCCAAATATAAAACTGTATTGATGGATAAATATATATAGTCTACTACTATGTTATGTCGTGTAAGTTCGTGGAGTAGTGAAACAAATTTTAGTGAAACAAATTTAGAATTTTATCCTTTATTTTACAATCATAATATAATAATATTTATAAGCCTCCGTTTTGAAAGTTTTAAATTTTAATATATTCACATTTCTATTTAAAATTCAATTTAATGTATAATTCAATAACTGGCCGCCAAAGCCGCGCATTCTTAAAAACATGATTAAATTGTTTATGATTATACGACAAATAGAAATAAATTTAAAATTATCCGTGGTTTTTTAAAAATAAATTATAATCTTACCTAAATCCAAAGCCAGCTTTGTAAAATTTACTTTTAGATCAAAATATATCGTCAATTCTAAATATTTACAATGCAACATTTCATTAATTTACATACAAGCGTACTCCAGCCCCTGCACGCATCCGTTCTTATGCGGCGCGGCTCAAGCCGCGCACGCACGTATTATTTTATACTTTTTGCTTTCTAATAAATATCGTGTCAATGTGTACGTCTAAATGTTCATGCTTTGTGTAAACCGAATCCAATTGAGATTAGTGACAAGGAATGGATAAGGACCCAAGTGCCTGTACGGCTTTTTCGGACCCCTGTGGACCACTACTCTTGAAGTCGCTCTACAACTATTGAACATTTATAACTGTTATATAATATATAACGACATTTGACAATTATTATCATTAATCTATAATCTAGCTGTCTTGCTGAGGGGGAGGAGTAAACGCTTCACAAACTAAAGTGCTTACAACATACAAAATTTAAAACCATCAACACGGTTATAGTTCATATCAAGGGCCAATTTGGTATACCTCTATTTCGTTGTAATATCTAGTATATCTTCACATCTTAATACTATAATGAAATACAATAGGATACATGTTTCGAGAAAGAAAGGTTGGTCCGATTATTAACAAAAGTAAACAAAAGTCCATCAGGGACTCCACGGAGTCGAAAAAGGTACACGGCCATGCTGTCTGGTGCTGCTAAGCATTTATTGATCAAGATGTTTTATTGTATTGGTTTTTGATGATTCTATTGTTCGTGACTAATCAAGTTCTAAGTGGGGGTATACAGTGCTGCTTAAGATACTTCGTCATCTCATGTCCAGTATAATGAATAAGATAGTAAACAATATAGTTTCAGTAGTTGACCCATACAGTTAAGTCCGTCATAACTCACAATTGTTTAATCATCTGTCAATTGTCAAAGTCTTTGTGTGTTTAGTCGCTGAGTTAGCAGTAAGATAAGTTGTTACGCGCGCGCGCGTTTAATCCCGTCGACGTGAGATGTGACAATGAAAACGCTACAAAATTATTGTTTTCGCGCGTTACGTAGAATTTACTAGTGTGTAATACTGGTTAACACTGGGTGTACACTGAGTGTAAGTCGCTAAGTTTTCAGCCCAGGTCAATATCATTACATATTTCGCATATTAATATACGACATATTTCGAAGGAAAACCACGACATAACAAAATTATTGTTAAATTTTGTTACAAATTAATTTAATTTCAGAAATAGTTGATTACAGAATTCCTTTTAAAAAAAATTTTCGAAAAAATTTCTTGAAAAAATTTTGCGAATATTTTGATATTTTCATGACATCCGAAATCATGACATCCGAAATCTTGACATCATGTCATGATTTACAAATATCTGAGAAAGTTCACGCATATCTTTACCTGTATTTTATAGGCAAAACTTGACATGAAAAACGTCCCCGCATATTTGATAAGATGAGCGCATATTTGACATGGATCTAAATATCTGAGGGGGGATATTATATAAAAAATATCCTTGTGTTTGAAAAATTATATCAAAAAAGTTAAGAATTTTTTAATAAATTTTTCTAGGACTCGCCTGTAGCAGGCTTTGTCCCCTGGATCGGGCTCTGCCAATTTGGATCATTGTGGGGCCCAAAAATGCCCCATCGGGTGATAAAAACCATGACATATTTCACCCAGATATAATAATATACGACATATTTTTAATGATATTGACCTGGGCTGGCCTCGGGTATGGGACAAGATATGAAGACACATCAGAGAGGAAACTGCTAACCAACATGGTGAGGACCTTTGATGAAGAGACACTTATTTGTTCACTTTTTGACAAAAAGCGGCAAAACCTCTTTCTCACATGGGAAAATACAATGTCATTCGACACCACGTGGAATAACCTGATCTATCAACTTAGTCCGGAACTGTTAAAGTTTCATGTCAATGCTATCCATGACACTGCGTCAACACCTAGCAACCTAAAGCTTTGGAATAAAGCCGTTTCAGGAAACTGTAAACTCTGCAGCAAACAAGGGACACTCAATCATATCCTCACGTTCTGCAAGGTTGCACTAAGACAGGGACGTTTCAACTGGCGCCATGATCAGGTCCTACGTGAAATCATGAAGACTGTTTCATCACAGATTGATGAGTTTAATTCCGACATCGCCAAGGAATCGAAGAGGGCACCGTCGGTCTTTCACAAGGCAGGCAATAAGCGCGAGAAGGTTACCTTAGCTGACCCAACTCATCATAAGACCCAAAGATATTTCTTTTCAGATGCCAACGACTGGAAGATAATATTTGATGAGGATGAGAGACAGAGGAACTTCCCGCAGCACATTGCAGCTACACCACTAAGACCTGATGTAGTG